GGCTTTATTCCTTTCTAGGAGGTATTGGTCAGTTACATTAGAATTAAACGAAGGTAGTACACAGATAGATTTATTATGTATCTCAAGTGGTGTTACTGGCGACTGAGATTCAGTATCATTCAATTATGCATTAATTTTCTTGTAAACTTTAGAATGAATACGTTTTTTAATTTTGGGCATACTTGCCGATGAATGAAATGTTACACACAATAATTTGCAAGCTAACTGACATGGAAATTCGGATATCTAAGGGATGTCGCAAAGTATTACATGAATGTCTGACTTATATCCTAGCTCATGCATTTCAGAGATATGTAAAATGGATATAGGAAAAATAAAAATGACAATATAAAGCAATAGGAAGAAAGAAATATTTAAATACAAGAACTCTTACTTATTTCAACAGTTAATGATTTTTATATCAAAAAAGGATTGAAAAATGAAAAGAAGACACGCGGTAAAAATGAATTCTGCGGGTTTGGCATTTGGTATCAGGTTTCAGTTTTTGTTGAGAACGGTTAGAATTATAATCATCTAGGAATATTTAAAAATTCAAAATTACGTTTTATTCTGAATAAAAAATCTGCATCAGAAAAAAAATTATATCAGAGTCTAGAATTGTAAATAAAAGAACATCAATATCCAAAAACTGAAATCTCTGAAATATCGAAAACTGGATCTGCATCAGCTAATGAGTACAATTTGAAACATCTCTTAGGCACTCTACAGACATCCAGTGATCCATGTCTTAAAACTTATCTATATTAAATATCCAAAAGATATCCATAATGTCCATATCTAGAACTTAGATATGCCTGGATATCTCTATAATAACCAAATTACCGTATTCGTCAGATATCCAAAAATGATATCTCGGAGATATCTAAAATATCCAAATCATGGACTTAGATGTGTTTATAGATATCTGTAAGAAGTCTGTAACATATCCGAATATCCACTGAAAATTTGGATAGGTAACAGACGTGTTTGGATATCCCTGGTACATTTGTGGCTGTGTGGGATGTTGCTCCATTTATGAAACAGGCATCATACTTAATTAATATTTAAAGTAAAAAATCAAGAATTTTTAATATGAATCATAACAAACATTATCTTAAAGGAAAGAGTGCACTCAGCAATAAAAATATTTTTTTTACAAGAATATACTATAAAAACTTGTGTTAATCATTTCAAAAAGTTTGGTATAAACACATGAAATAAAAGAATTTTACTTTTATTATACAAAATACCTTAATGGCAATGTGTATTTGTATAAATATCAGGAAATACCTAACATTCAAAGCTATAGCTTCGACTGGGAAACTTCTGGGTAGCATATATACTACCCAGAAGTTTATCAACAAAAACAAAGTAACTTTAACGTACAATAAAAAAACATTTGGCCATTATTTTGCTCTGTTTATGAAGCAGGTGACATAACATCTAAAGTAAAAAATCAACAACTATTTCTTATATGAATCATAATAAACAACATCTATAAAGAGAGACATAACTCACTTTCTAACCCATCAAAATCATCATTTTATTTTTCATATATCATTTTTTTTATCACAATTTATCTGAAACTTGCTTAATAGTCTTTTAAAACTATATTCTACATAAAAATCAACCGTTAATATTTTTTAAAAATGTTTATTATGCTCATTTTTTTCAAAAAAACATCGAAATTCCCTAGAAATTAGTGAAACTCGGAGTTCACAACAAAAGAAGGGGATACAACTGTCTACAATCTTTATCTACAACGTACTACGATCGGTGCGAATAAATTATCCACTCGAGCATACGCAATTGAAAAATTCAACAAATAAATGCTAAAAATGCCAATCAAGTAAACCAAAGAAAACGATTAAACAATAAAAATGAAAACAGTAGAATTATCAACCAATCAAGTGGGTCTATTTATTAAGAAGTTGGGCAACTAAGCAACAGCCTTAAATAAATTCGCGATCGCAACGCTCGAGTACGCCATCTAGCGGGAGACTGAAAATATCGGACATTAATTCCATCATAACCATTGGCCATGACGGACGCCATTTTCTTAGCAAATAAGAAGCAAAATTTCCCTAAGGAAAAGATAAAACTTCTTGAAAAAACTAACCAGAACATGCCAAACATTGAAGCAGAACACGTCAAGCATTTGAAGAACAATTTCAGACATGATTTCGGAATACATGATCACTTGCTGTTACACATGTGCATATTACGGTAAAATAATTTTTTCCGTCTTCAATTCATTACAAATTAAAGTGAAGTCAACATTGCTTTCGTCATTCCAAAGAATAAAGTGAATTCAGAACTTACAGAACTGTAATAGTTATAGAATATTCTTCTTCTTTATAGAATAGTATATATTTCCGTATCTATATAATTCGGAAAACAACAATAAAGAATCATCCGAACTACTTAAAATAGTTTTATTTGTGCTGATTATTAATAATTTTTTATCGTTTTCTTGGTAAGCATTTTTTAGTTTTGAAAGAATAATTTCAACTAGAATTCAGCTGTTCTACTTTTAAGCTACATATTCAAATTCATATCGAGATCTTACAATTATAAAATTTTGATATGTGGTATGTTATCTAAAAGTAATGAAGAGATAATCTATGCATATATTATTTGAAAATAAAATTTTCAAACGAAGAACATTTCATTTGGAATTCTGCGGATTTATAAAACAGGTGAGTGTTATGATTTTTATAATAAAAAAATTACTTTTAAATACTTTTTTTTTCTTATTTGATGATAGTTTTTTTACGCCTGTTTAGGAACTATAAGAATAAAAAAAGAAACAAGATAAAAGTTTTTATTTCAATATAAAGTATTCTTAAAATCGTTTTTTTTTCCTAAGAATTCTTTATTTTACATTTTTTAGTTAATAATTTTTTGATAAAAATTGCTGTCAAAATATTTTTTTTTTGAAAAATTAAATGGTATAACATTATGTGTTTATGTATACTTCTTGTATATTCTAATGTTTGAAGTAATATATAATTCAGAAAAGTATGGAATAAAAATTCGGTACTTACGTACTAACGCCACCGCCACTACAGATTTGGCGGTTTTTAAGTGCTGCCAATCTAAAATTACGCTTAAAATGTTTGCGACAAATCATAAAATAAAACACTTTATTTAAAATCAAAGTAGTCAATGGGATTTCGGTGGAAAATAGGCCGATAGAGAGTTTAGCATGGATTCAAAACAATCATATCGCCATTTGAACTCTGACAAATAAGATTCCAAATGAAATAACATTTCCAAAACGTACGTTTACTAAGATAAAGTTTCATGTCGTGGGAATTGGTACATTTTCATTTTTTCGGTAAAATATTTCGCTCCTGAAAAAATAAAATTGCATCTTGTTTTGTTTTTGGCAAATCCCAAAGACGAATGTTTATTCTTAATAGAATTTTTTTTTTAGTTATTAAAGTGTTAGTCACGGA